TTTGCAGACAGGGAAACAGGTTTAGGAGGCAAAGAAACTCCTGGTTCCAGGTGAAGGATCCCTACAGCTCCTCTTTGGCCAGGCCTTCAGTCCCCTCTCCATCCCCCCAACTACAGCCCCCAGGTCTGTACTGGGTCCTGAAGGACTATGATGAGGCAGTTCCCAGGTCCAGCAATTGAGGTGGGCTGGCATGAGGAGTTGGTGGGCAGGACAGGGTGGGTGGCTCCCTCCCTGCCCCCCCAACTACTCTTGGTTCATTCCCCTGGTGGGGTGGAAGGGTTTGGGAGGGACGGGTGAGGATCACCCTATAAAGAATCTGGCCTTCTCACCTCCCTACCTGAGCCCCACAGTCCTGAGAGTGGGAATAGCCCAGAGAGTATGAGCAGCCCAAAGAGCGGGACATTTTAAGCGACCCTCACCCCTGCACCTATTCACCTCAGTAAGCCAGAATGGTAAAAATCCTATCATGGGGTGAATAACGCCCACCCTTTAATTGACTCAACATATTCCCCCCAGTAGTTGGACATGGAAATCCTGCAGGCACCCAGGAAATAGGGTGCGGAGCCCCGCCCTTTCCCAACCCTGGCCCTTTAAACAATCCCCACCCCCTACATGCCGTATTCACCCCAATAGACCCGCACATGAATCCCAATATGCCCAGGCCCTGCGGACCTGTCCCCATGTGGAAGGGGCTGAGAATGGGCTCTTCGCCCAGCCAGCAAGGGAAAGGACAAAGGCCAGAACACCAAGCACCCTCCATGCCACCCCACGCCTGGCTCTGTCCCTGTCAGAGGCCAGCCTCCGCCCGCTGGGACAGTGCTGCTGCTCCCGCAGCACAGTGCAGTCCACAAAGGGTGTGCAACCCCTGGCCTTGGACAAGGGAAGATGACCCCAGACTGGTCTGGAAACAGTAGCCTGACCAGTGGCCTGTAGAGGTGGGATATCCCCAGTTTTCCCTCACATCCTCATTTATGCTTTACAAAATCCATATTAAGGGAAAGCTGTTCTACTGCTGAGCCCCCTCTTCCTCCTCCAGTGGCTGCTTCATCTCAGTCGGGTGCACAGGGGCACCTGCATTCACCACATAAAATATCAGGAATCCCCTGCAAGTACAGCCACTCTGATTTCAGAAATCAGAAATTACTGCACCTGGGAAGGGCCACACTTACTACACCCTTCCCGTCCCAGGGCGTGGAGGAAACGCATGATCAGGTGCTGGTGAGTGGGGCTAAGATAGTGTGACACTTTCCATTCATGCCTCACAGGAGTGCAGAGCACCTACTACGTGCCAGGCTCCAGGATCAGAGCCCTGAGCAGACATTCAGGCAACAGTGAAGGGTGACAGATGACATTTGCCACCAGCAATGCCATGAGTCTGGCTCTGGCCCAACTGCTTCCCTTCATATTAAGTCAGTCAATTAAACAAACACAATATTGAGCTCATTTCAGATAAACAAAGAGAAAGCAAAACAACTGCATGCCACCTTAGAAAGGGTACTGCAGGTCAGCAAGAGAGGGTCTCAGGGGAGTGACCTCTGAGCTGAGACCTGAACTGGATGGAGCCCCCTGTGTGCTGCTGTAGGGAAGGGCTGCCAGCAGAGTGTACCCCAAGTGCAGCTTGGGCTGAGAGAAACTGGGGGCTGGATCCCTGCTAATAAGGGAGAGAGGGGTAAAGGTGGGAAGGCCACTCTCCCACAGGGCCTGGAAAAGGGCCTGGACTTACTGAGACCCAGGGTGATTCTCAAAGGACTCTAAGCAGGCAGATAACACACTTGGTTTATCTTTTTAAAGATCACCGCAGGCCATGGCAGGACTAGGTGAGGACTAGAGCCCTGGATGGCTGATGTGGAGGCAAGAACCATTGGGGCTAGGGGGAAAGGGGGCTGGGCCTTGAAGGAAGAGCTGGCTGGGAAGCTGAGCAAAGCATTTGCTCTTAGCCTGGGTGACTCTGAGATTTACAACGAAAACCCTTTGGGTATTCGAGATTCCTCTAAACAGCCCAGCAAGGCTCACATTCTGAGTGGCAATGACTGTCTCTCATGGGCTGATAACCTGAATAGCCATGGCAAGGCCCATCTGGATGGTTCAGAAGCCCCCCTCTGCATCCTTAGCTCTACAATCCTGGTTCCAGAGATTCCTTTTTGGCAAATCCTGAAAGAAGCTCCAGCTGCCCCACATCTTGGTCCTACAACATTCCCACTCTCAGCTGGCTAATACCCCGTTACTCTGATGGGCAGAAAACTCCAAGCTGATGTTGCTTCCTCCCTCCTCTGTCTCAAGCCCTGGTCCTGAGGACAGACTTGATGCCCTCTACTCCCCTTAGCTTAGACTCCAGCACAATGCAAATTCACAGCCACATGCCCCCAGGGGCCTGGCTAGGAACAACTGTGGTGCTAAGAGAACAACTAGATCCAAAGTCCAAGTCCAGCCTCCCACCCACCCTGGAGCATTACTCTCTGTCCATGGATCTCCATGGTTAAGGTTAACCAGCCATGGCCAAGGCCCAGCAGCCAAGGCCTGAAAACCCTCAGGGATCCTGAGCAGCCCAGGGGCCACATCCTTGGGCTGTGTGTTGTCAAGCCACAGGTCAAGTTCATTAAGTCATGAGTCAAATCTGGCACAGAGAATGATCTTCTGTTCCTTTGTGGCACTTGTGAGCAGCACAAGGACATCCTAGGGCAACATGCCTGCTGCCATCAGAGGCCATGGCACTATCCTCCTGTATCACCTAGCATCTGGCCCCTGGCAAACAATAGCATCTACCTCCCACCCACATGTCCAGCCCTGCACGCAGTGGATACTCCCACCCTCCTGACCTGCATCTGACAGCTCCCCTCCTAGCAAATGACCAGGGCACTATATACCCCTAGCACTCAGCCCTCCTATAGCCTCTGTCCCAGGGGCCAGAGCTTCATGCTCACCAGGCCTCTCTGGAACGACCAGGAACTGGGTCTGCACTGTTTATCAACTGTGGCCACACACAGAGTCACCTATCCTTTGAACAAGTGGGAATGGGGCATGACACACTACCGTCTCCGTGAGTGTGCCCTCCATCTGTATGTTGTATGTGTGCACATGCCTGCAGGCTTACCCACAGAATCAGCAGCAAGCACCAGCCCCAGAACAGTGCTACAGACACACAACCAGCTTCACACCACTGGCTTATCATGGAGTTTTTTCTTCCCTGCCCTTAGCATAACATGTCAGATTACTATCAACGCTCAGAAAGCCTAGATTTCAGAAGAGAAACTGCTCTCGAACACTCTCAACACGGTCCCTATAACCCTGGGTGGGGGTGGGGGTAGGGTGTTGACAAGGCATTCTGGAGGGAGCGATTCTGGAAAGAAAGAAAGTGAATGCCATCCTTATCCTCAGAAGAATGGGGCTGATTCGTGGCCCAATTTGGACCTAAGAAGGAGCCTCCACTGGACATCCAGGATGCCTGCATGGGGCTCGAGGCCTGCACTGCAGTGTCTCTGGGGGGAGGCCTGGGACTGCAAGCCGGAGGGTCCTCACCCTGCCTATCTGCTTTGCTTTGTCATCTTTTCTAAACACAACCTGACAAGACTGCCAGACAGACACAGGCAGCGTCTTCCTCCCTGGCACCCTGGCCAGCCCTGCACACGTGAGGGCAGACAATAGGATCTGCAGGGTTGGGGCTGGAGGCCTGAAGAGAGCAGCCAGGCACCTACTGCCACCCTAGGCCACCCCACCTGCCTCATGCCTGCAAAGCCCTCTTGGCTCTTCTTGCCCTGTCAAGTTCAAGGAACAGTGGTGCCCTGTACAAACAAGGAAGTGGGGTTAAATTCGCAGCAAAGATAGGCAGTTGGCCCATGATTCTTAGAGAAGCAGGGTTTCTCTAGGCTGGGACCTCAATCTGTCCCTGTGCACGCAAATGCAAGAGTGTAAACGTCCAACCCCAAAGACTGCCTGCTTCTCTAGGTCCTGATGAACCACCTGCCCTAAAAGGGGCTATACCAGTGGGGACAGTCACAGAAGTCCACCTGTAAAAGGCACCTTGCAGGACTGAGGAAGAAGGGCAGACACACATTAGTTACACCTTTGAGATATCCTGAGATGGCCAAAGAGGAGGAATCCACCTGGCTGCTCCAGCAAGGCCAGGCCAACTCAGCCCCAGGACGGGTGAGGAGCAGAGCAGCCCACCTCATCCCTGAAGGGACCTGTCCAAACCCTAACTCCTGCAGCAACTGACAGGACACAGCCTGCCCGTCTGGGCTGGGGGCTGGGCCTGTGGCTGGAGGGGCTGCCCACCTCCAAGCCTCGCACCCACATGTCTCACCCCGACTCCCTCAACCTCACAAGACTGCCTTCTCTTGGAGACGCAAGCCCTTCCAACAAATATTGAGGCTCCATATCTTTAGGGGGCCGGTGACCTAGAGGCTGTGGGAAAGTGGGGAAAGAGTCCCCGGCAACCCTCAGCCCAGGCACAATCCCACTTTGTGGACCCAGACAGAACTACCTCGGAACCAAGCCCCGTGCTAGGATGCCAGACACTAGATCCCAGATCCCAGACCTGGATTCCAGACGCACACACTCCCACACCCGTCCCTTCCAGACTCAGGTTGGCTGAGCTGGGGACACAGACTCCACTACTGGTCAGGGTCTGTGACAGTCAGACCCAGGTACCTTCCCTTCGTGTTCCGGCTCCTTTAAGCCCCACCAAAGCCGCGCTGGGTGCGCCACTCCCCACCCGCCGGCCCCACCCGCGCCCCGGAGCGCCGGGCGCCGACCCGCCCTGGCCCGGCCCGGGATCTCCGCAGACGCCCCCAGCTCCGCGGCGCACCGGGCCCGGGCGGGCGCCCACTGGCACGGGCAAGGGCCGCAGGGTGCTCCCCGTCCCGGGTGCGGGGACTGCGGCGCGGGCTCCCGCGACCCCCGCAGCCTGCCCCCAGAGGCCAGCCCCACGCTCCGGCTCCGGCGGCGACCCCGCCCGCCGCGCCCCGGCCCCTCGCCGCCCCGCCCGGCCGCGGCGCCCTTACCGTGCAGCGGGCTCCGGGCTCCAGACCGGGCGCGCGGGGGCTCCGCGGGCGGCGTGGGCCGGGCTGCAGGAAATGCCAGAAGACCGATCCGACCGCGCGAGGCGGAGTGAGAGAGCCGGAGGAGGCCGAGCGGGCGAGGGGGCGGAGGGAGCAGGGCGCGGCGGCCGCAAAACCCGGGCGGATCGGCCGCACCGGAGCGGGCACCGCGGGGACCCCGGTCCCGGCCGCACGGGGCCGCCCTCCCCTGGCGCGCTCCGGGGCTCCAGCGCACCCAGACGCCATAGGTCGGGACGCTCCACTGAAAGAGGCCAGGAGGCTGCGCAGGGTGCGTAGTGGCTCAGTCTCCTGGGGTTCTCGAATTTAGGGGTGCATGCCCCAGGCCACCTCAGCCAGAGTGAGGGCCCCGTCTTACCTTCCTGAGCCCAGGAACTTGTGACACTTTCTCCCGCAGTCATGGAAGCCCCCAGAACACAAGGGGACCCCCACAGGCCCGAGCCCATTGTCCCTGTGCTAGATATGCTAAGAAGGACCTTCCCAGCTTCTAAGCGCTTGTCTTTCTCAGGCTTTTTTGCTAAGAACCCGCCCTCCCGTGGTGTCCTCCTGTGTCTTCTTCTCATCCCTTTCTGCCCTCCCTATTTAGACCCCCCCACCCAAGTCCTCTGCGTACTGATGACATTTATTCCAAACAGTCTCCTGATAGGAGGCGAGAAGTCCCCCTGGCCTGTGGGTCTTTAAGTGGGTGTGAGCTCCTGGTTGGCCCCAGCAGTAGCCCCAAGCCCGAGGTGCCCTGGGACCCAGTGGGGTCCTTCTTCTAGTGTCTGTCCCCAAGTAGCTAAGTGAGTTGGAAGCTGGGCTCACTTCCACAGGTATTTTGAGGCTTCATATCATATAGCAGGTATATCCCTGCTGTAGGCAGAACATGGGAGGCGAGGACCCTTCCCAAACAGAACTTTAATAAAAAGGTCAGGACTGAGACCCTCAGAGCAAGCCCCAGTGTGGGTCTGCTGCCAGCATGTGCAATTCCAATCTTCACTTCCTGCTGGGTTGCAAGTGCATTCAAGGCCCCCAAGCCTGGGGATCAGGGAGATGCCTGAGACCACCAGAAAGAGCTGTGAGGGGAAAAGCCTTCCTTGGGAAGCTCCTTCCAGCGCTAGTGCGCTGCCTCCAGCCAGCCAAGCCCCTTCCCCTCTGAGCCTCAGCCACGCCCAGCCCCTTAGACCCAAGCACCAGGTTAAGGAGGTGGGTAGGCTGCCTAAGCCTGCTCTAAGGTTATCCCAGGGCTAGCCTTGTCCAACCCCACAGTCACCTTTTGAGGCCTTGGGATGCAGAACTGCTCGGACAAGATGCTCAGGGCCATGGTGGGACCCTGCTCTGGGTTGCCTGTGGCAGGTGGCCTCCAGCTCTCCAGGTGAGGGTCTACGCAGCGTGGGATCAACAAAGACCAGTCAGGTTTCCTCTTCAAAGCCTCTTCCTAAAGCTGGGCACCACTGCCAGGAGCCTGGTAAACTGCTGGTTGCTGGGGCCAATCCCCAGGGAACTGGGAAAGAAAACAAATCCCCTGTCTCTTGGGGCACAAGTCTCAGGGGCCAAAGGAGGGAAGGTTGCCGTCACTTGATGCTGGCTATTTGAGGCCTGAATTTCATGAAATGTCACTGCTGAGGACAGAGGTTAAAAGGGCATCTGGGAAGAGCCCAGAGATGACCACAGGGTCAGGGCTCAGTGGGTGGGGTCTGGAAGAAGTTTTAGCCAAATGGCCAACAGAAATAAGGAGTGTACAACCAACTGGCCACAGCAACAGGTGTCTAGTGTCCCTCCAGCCAAATGGCCACCCAGAAATAAGGAGTATACCACCTGCTGGCCACAGCAACAGGTGGCTAGTGTCCCTCCAGCTTCACAGCAAGCTTTTGGCCCTTCCAGGAAGCCCCTGCCAATCTCTTGCCTGGTTTTGGAGAATCAACAAGGTGAAGGGGACACCCCTGACTAGAGGTAGATCTGAATCCCGCTGTTGCCAGGAAGTGGCTCCATGACTGGGCAGACCCTGACTCCCTAGCTGCCAAGTGGACATTGCCCGTTGTGTGTGGTGGCCACCACAGGAGACGGAGCATGAAGAGACTCAGATGGCAGAGCTGATGGCACCAGCTTTGGGAGCACGGTGGGTGGGCTTTGGGCAGGTTTGTGCCACTCCCTGTGACTTGGTTTCCTCATTTGTAAAAGGAGATGCTGACCTAGCCGTCCCTGCTGTCTGCTGTGAGTCGCCAGTGAGCACAAGCTCTGGGTGAACCCAGGGGGCTGAGAGGCCTGCTGTGAGGAGGAATGGCTCGCACCGCCTAGCAGCTTCGTTTTCTGAGCTATGATCCAGACAGATGTGTCTGTAATATGAAAAATTATTTTTTTAAACAGTCTCACTTTGTCACCCTTGGTAGAGTACTGTGGTATCACAGCTCACAGCAACCTCAAAGTCCTGGGCTCAGGCAATCTTCTTGCCTTAGCCTCCTGAGTAATTGGGACTACAGGCGCCTGCCACAACGCCCAGTTATTTTTGTTGTTGTTGTTGCAGTTGTCATTATTGTTTAGCAGGCTCTGGCTGGATTCGAACCCGACACCCTCAGTGCATGTGGCTGGCCCCGTAACCACTGTGCTATGGGCCCCAAACCTACAAAAGATTTTTTAAAACATCTTCACAAGGCTTGGTGCTGTAGTACAGTGGTTACGGGGCCAGCCACATATACTGAGGGTGGCAGGTTCAAACTCAGCCCGGGCCAGCTAAACAACAGCAACAACAAAAATAATAGCTGGGCGTTGTGGCGGGCACCTATAGTCACAGCTACTTGGGAGGCTGAGGCAAGAGAATGGCTTGAGCCCAAGAGTTGAGGTTGCTGTGAGCTATGACGCCACAGCACTCTACCAAGGGCAACATAGTGAGACTCTGTCTAAAATAATAATAATAATAACATCTTCACAAATATGGAGACCCTTACTCTTGAGCTGGCAGTGTACCATGTAATGTCAGGACTGTCTCACTCCAGCTCTCTGGGACAACTGTTCTCAGAGGGGATGATTTTGCGTTCCATATCTAGGTGACACTGGGCAACATCTGGGCAGTTTCAGCTGTTATAATTGGGGTGCTAATGGCATTTGATGAGTAGAGACCCAGGATGCTGCTATGCAGCCTGCAACACATAGCCCCCACAACGAAGAACGAGTGGCTACAGACATTGGCAGCACAGAGGCTGAGCAGCCCTAGCAGTGAACACACTTGCAACTGTTAGCTGCACCTTAGTGCTGGATGACTGGTCCTTGCAGGTCACGAGGCCCCCAAGTCCTGTTGCTGGAGCCCCCTCCTGTCCCAGGTTCTAGCATCTCAGCTCCTCCTGACACTGTGGGGTTAATAACAGCTGTTGGTGCCGTCTCACATCAGCCCTTTCTGAGGCCTTTAGATGCCTGTCATTTAATCTACCCATCAATCCTATAGGAAAGTTTTGTCATAATCAGTTCCATTTTAGAGGTGGGGAGACCAAGACACAGCAGGAGAGAAAGGCTTGGCTCCCCAGTGCCTGGGTTCCAGAGCTGTGCTCTGGGACCTAGTTAGTGATAAAGACTCATAGGCTCCGAGGAGACCCCTGGAAGCCCCTGGCCCTCCCACTATGCCTGGCTGCCTCTCTGGGAAGAACTGGGGAGACCAGGACATGTTAGAACATGCCTGGGTCCCTTTCAGCGAAAGTGCCTCCAGGGATGCCTTCTGGAGCCAGTATGGCTGGGTGTGGTCACTAGGGAGAGAGACCCTGGGCCAGGTGTGGGGCGAGGTGCTTTCATACCTACCCCCTCATTTAGGCCTTGCCAAGTCAACTGCAACAGCAATAATGATTTCTCCCTATTTTGCAGACAAGGAAACTGAGGCCTGAGTAGTAAGGGTGGGCAGCAGAACTTAGGCTGGGTCCCTGACTCCTTCTGGGGTACCCGGCCTGTTGCTCTTGACGGCACTGGTAAGTCCAATGAGCTGCCCTGAGGGTAATGCCTCCCCCACCCCCACCCCAGTGTACCTGACCTGACCTAGGCACTTGGATGAGATGACCCCCCGGGGAGGTGGGGCTGGTGAAACTTAAAGCCCCTGATATTCTCCGGGGTGCAACAGCTAACCCTGAAGACACAACGGCATGTATCAACAACTCATAGTGTGCCTGGCACTGTGTCCCCACCTTTGCATGTCTGACCACTACATTCTCCCTGAGGCCACCAGTATCCCCATTGGAGAGGCGCTGATGTGCTGGGGACAGCAGAGCATCCAGCTCCGGAGAGGGGCAGGATTGGAAGCCAAACTGGTGCTTGGGCTGCAGGAGGCAGGCTGTCCCTTGCCACGCCCCACTTTAGAGCCCTCCTACGCCTCAAAGCACCGCCCAGTCCCTCCTGGCTCTCACAGTGGTACAGGGGGCGGGGACTGGGGAGGAGCCGGAGGCGCCAGGTCCCCAAATGTGTTCCTCCCCCTCTCCCAGGGGAGACTGAGGTGGCATCTTCTTGGGTTGAGCCACGAAGGTAGCCAGGTGTGGGGGGCGGGGAGGAACGGTTTTCCTTCCCTCCGGGGAAACCTCCCTTCCCAGTGCTGGGCTGTGCTGCCTGCGACGTCAGGGCTCCTGGGCAGGCCATGCTGCACTCTGCCTGCATGTCTCTGTGTCACACGTACATGCCGACACACTTGTCTTCCGAAAAGACACATCCGGACCTCGGACAATCAGGCAAACACCTGATTGTCATAAAAACATGAGATTTCCCTGCCTTTCTCGTGACAGTGTTTGTGCTCCTGCCTGAAAGGACAAGAAGATGCTATTTCTGGGGCAGAGAGCGCCGCAGTTCTTTTGCAGTTTTTTTTGGCTGGGTTCTGTGGGAGGCCAGAGTGTGAATGTCCCCACTGGTGCAGAAGCTAGTCCTGAGCCCTGCCTGCAGCTCTTGGGTCTGGAGAGTGAGGGTGAGGGGGCACTGAGGTGAGGTTGGTAATGTGCCTAGAAACCTCAGGAGGCAGGGAAAGAAATACCAGAGTTGCCAAGTTCTGGCCAGTGCCCACCCCACCCCGCTC